CGATGGCGGCGAGGACCCTGACCCCGAGCGCGAGCCGGTGCGCGACGTCGGGGCCGAGAGGCCGCCGGGCAGCCAGGTGCGCAGGGGACGGGGGCTCCACCTTGCACTTGGGTCTGAAAGTGGGTGCACCAAGGAGGAAGTCAGGACTTCCGGGCTCCTGATGGAGTTAGGGAGGACCTCCCGGTCTGCCTCCAGGCCACTCCAGTCCATTCCCTTCTGCACCAACTTCTGGGATGGAAATCCCAGGTTCTAGCGGCCCTGAGAACTCAACAGAACCCATCAATCGTCCCCTTGCCACAAGAGGGGCCCAGAGACTTGCCTGGAAGTTATCAATTAGTAGCAGAGCTACTTGAACTTGGAGAGAGGGATGGATCAGAGCTAAGGGGTTGGAGCACATGGGTAGCTTTTGGGAGGTCACGTTGGAGCTAGGCTGGGGGGATGTGGAGGAGTTAGCTGCAGAATGCCAGAGGAAGTCCTGCTGCATCTCTCCAGTTATCCCCACAGAAGCCTCCAGGGTGGAAGGGGCTTAGATCCAAAGTCCTACTGGTGCTGGAATTTGAATCCAGGCATCTGCCTGGAGTATGTGGTAACAGTATGGTGGGGCATCCATGGTGGGAGTCTGGGCAGTCTTCTGATCCAGTAGGCCTAGTGCCAGAAGGTCCCTGGGGTGGGGTCCTCTTCAGCTCTCCAGCTCTGTCCCCAGGCAGGCCAGCCACTCTCCTAGGACTCAGGTGAGCACTGCTTCCTCCTGGCAGCTGAGGCCCTCTGTGTGAGATCTGCCTGTTCCTGCCCTGGTTGGGGCTGCACTGCACTCTGCCTGTTCTCTTGATACGGTTGTCATCACAGTAAGAGCGCCGATGCTGGGTACATTGAGGATCCCCAGGCCTGCCTGATGAATTGGCACACCAGCCAGGCTGCTCTGCATTTGGTGATCAGAAATGAGTTCCTTGTCTTCCTGATTTGTGAAATGGGGCTTTATGCCCAGTGGCATCTCAGATGCCCCAGGGGGAGGGCACCTGAGGAGGAAGGCAGGGAAGTCAGTGTTCCCCAAGTCCTCAGAGCCACCCATCTCCTTGGAAGGATTAAATTCCTTTTTTTTTTTTTTTTTGCCAGTCCTGGGCTTGAACTCAGAGTCTGGGCACTGTCCCTGAGCTTCTTTTACTCAAGGCTAGCACTTTATCATTTGAGCCTCAGCACCACTTCTGGCTTTTTCTGTTTATGTGGTATTGAGGAATTGAACCCAGGTTTTCATGCATGCTAGGCAAGCACTCTACCACTAAGCCACATTCCCAGCCCCAAGTTCCTTTTGAGGGAATCGGGTCTTAAGCTGTAGGCCACATTTCACTGCAGCTTCTATTCTGACCAGTCCCACCAAACGCTTGCATACTTGCAGTGAAGGGGAGCTTAACTACCTTTGCTGGAAACCCCAGTGCCTAACTATGCAGTTCCAAAAGATAAAGGGCAAGACAATCTGGAGGTCAGTCTGCCACATACCCCAGAGAAGGAGAGGCCGCCTCCCCAGGCAAAGCAGCAGGAGAGAGGAAGCTAGGGCCCACAGGCATTTTGTGATGTGCTCCAATACCCTCACCAAGCTGAGCAGACCAAAGGCCTGAGAGAGGCCACAAGGAAGACTGCCAGGAGAGAGCCCAGCAGCCAGGGGCAGCCTCCACCTCCATCCCCACAGGAGCTGGACCTGGTGGAAAGCTTGCTGAAGAGCAGGCCTGAGGAGCCCGAGGGAGGCTGGGAGTCCCGAAGTGTGGCAGCCGGAGGTTCACGGGGCAGCTCAGGCCGCCCGGAGCGCAGCCGGATACCTTGGGAGGACCCCGTGGCCACGGAGGATGACACCTCCAAATTGACTGCCCTGCGGCTGCGGCTGGATGAGTCCCAGAAGGTGCTGCTCAAGGAGCGAGAGTAAGTCTGGGGAGAAAGGGGAGGCAGGTGCAGGCTAGGGTACCCCCCAGAACCTCAGAATGAATATGTGTGTCTCAGAATGAGCAATCCGCAAGGTACAGGTACTCTTAAGTCAGGAGGCCTGGATTTTAGAGCACCCAATGGACCAGGGATAGTTTTGTTGTTGTTTTGTTTTGTATTGCTTTTTGTCAATTATGGGGCTTGAACTCTGGGCCTGGGCGCTGTCCCTCACCTCTTCAGCTCAAGGTGAGCACTTTACCACTTGAGCCACAGCACCACTTCTGGTTTTCTGGTGGTTAATTGGAGATAAGAGTCTCATGGACTTTCCTGCTCAGACTGGCTTTTAACCATGATCCTCAGATCTCAGCCTGCTGAATAGCTAGGATTACAGGTGCGAGCCACCAGTGCCTGGCCAGCCCTTGTTTGAATTGGTTGCTTTTCCAGACTTGTATCTGGATCATAATCCTCCTATTTAAGACTTTGCCCCTAGCTGACATAATAGGGACCTGCCACAATGCCCAGCTTCTTCCACTGAGATGGACTTTTCTGCCCAGGATGACCTGGAACCATGATCCTCCAATCTCAGTCTCCCAGGTAGCTAGGATTACAGGCATGAACCCCTGGCACCTGGGCAGATTTGGCCTTCTTTATGACTGTCTTAAGAGCTGAACACAGTGCTTGGCCCAGGACAGATGACTATTATTTTAGAAGGAATGAGTAAAAACTAGCCAGACACTGAGTTCAAACTCCAGCAATGCCAAAAGGAAAAAAAAAGAAAAAGAAAAAAGGGGGGGCGAAGAAGGGAGGGAGGAGAGGGAGGGAAGAAGGAAGAAAAGAAAGGTGATAGAATCCCCGAGAGCTTGGTCTGGTGGGCTTGGTAGAGTAGGAGAGTGCTGTGGTTCAGGTGAAGCAGGAGGAGGAGGAAGTTGGTTGGGAGTTTGGTTCAGGGATGTGGGAGTAGCTTGGCCTGGAGGTGGGTGAGTTTGTGAATGAGACTGGATGGCAGGCAGAAGTGCAAGTGCTCAGCAAATTGGTGGTGTCTGAAGCCAGAAGCCTGTGGGGTCAGAGGATGGAGCTGGAAGGCCAAGTTCAAAGGATAGCTAGAGGAAAAGGAAGAGGCAGAGGAACTAAGGAGGAACAGAGGACTGTCAGCTGGGCCTGTAAAGGACTGAGCACTGACCAGGGTGCAGACACGGAGGGCCCTGTGAAGGCGAAGGTCAGGTGAGGTGTCTGTCCTCAAGATGTCATTGCTGCTGTCATCAGAGGCACCAGGCAAATTCCCAGAAGCTGGTGGAGGATGGGGGTGGGGGGAGTCAGTGAGGACAGGTTCTTTGTCCCAGCCCAAGGTGGAACCATCTTACCAACACTCAGCCTTGGATTTCTAGCCTCCAGAAATCAAATGTCTCATTTCAGATTACTTTATAATTATCCCCCTGCCCCAGGGACAAACTGGCACTGAGCAGAAACATTGAGAAGCTGGAGGTGGAGCTCAGCCAGTGGAAGATCAAGTATGAGGAGCTGAACAAGACCAAGCAGGAGATGCTCAAGCAAGTGAGTCTGGAGACATGGAGGGCGTCCTGGAGGTGGCAGCAGATCACTGTTGAATTCCAGCAGTGGGGACAGCAACAACTGGAATCCATTCATTCATTCAGATGTTGTTCTGAGAACTGGGGCTGACCCCTAGCTGTTCTTCAGGGGTCAGAGGACAGAGCAGACAGACGAAGCTACCCAGCAACAAGGCACTGGGAATATATGGTGACCAGGCAGGGAAATACTTGAGTCACAAAGGAATATAAACAGCATGAGAGAGCTAAGGTGGTGGGCCAGGAAAGGCTTCTGTATGAAAGTCACATTTGACACCAGCCCTAATGGGGCTAGTAGAAGGCATTTTTGAGAAAATGTGGGAGCAGAGTGTTCACAGCAAAGGCAAAGGTCTTGAGGCAGTCAAAAGCCTAGGCACCAGTGTAGCTGGAGAGTCCTGGTGAGAGGTGAGGCCACAGGAGCAAGATCTCACAGCGCTTGTGACCACAATGGAGTCAGATGGGACACTGACTCATCTGATGCCAAGCGTGTGCTGGGTGTCATTGAACTCCTGTGGTACTGAAGGAGGTTGAGTCCCCCTGTCCCCAGCTTACAAATGAGGAAGCACAGAGGACTCTCCTGTGGCAGTAACCCCAGGGTGGGGGTGGGGGGTAAGAGGGCTGGGGACAGGGGACAGGCTGGGCTGCCACTTCTGCCTCCTGTGCGGGCCCAGCATGGCCACCAGGGGGCGAGGTCGGCCCTGGGAAAGCTGGGCTGGAGCCATTGGGTTTCCACAGATCTCAAAATCTGAAACTTGGGCCTGGAAGAGACGGAAGGATCTCTTGAGCAACTCTTGACACAGAATCCCAGACCCCAGCTCTATCTCTCCTCCATCTGTTTATCTTCAACTGAGGGTATGGGCGGAGCAACCTAGCTCAGCTGTTCAGATCATGAACTATAAACATTTACAGGAAAGTGAAGAACAGGAAGTTCTCCCTTGTGCATCTGGTCTTGCCCCCAGCATTGCGTGTTGAAGACTCGCCCAGGGGGGTGGCATGGAGCCACAACTCATTGGGGTTTTCTGCTGAGCAACAGGGTATTAGATTATTATGGCAATAGATAATACATATTGTATATATTATACATAATATATAATAGTTATTTATAGAAAGCATTCCAACCAGGTCTGAACCCCATGCTCAGACTGGTGGAAGGCTTTGAGATTTGTCTGCCAAGTCCCCTGCAGGGATACAAAGGAGGAGGCAGACAAGCCCCTGTCCGCTGGCTTGCAGTGGGGAGGAGGATAGGGGGGCCCCTCTTCTAGGCCAGGTGGACAGAAGAGGCCAATCCTGCAAAACACCTCACACTGTTCCAGGCAGAAGATGTGCAAAGGCCCTGCAGTGGGCCTGCTCTGCTTCATTTGGGTGTGGCCTCAGGCTCCTGGAACCCTCCTGACCAATACATCACCCTGCGCCCTGCTCCCCGCCCCCCATCCGGGTTTAAATCCTGGTGGTTCTCCGTCACCAGTTCTGTGTGGCCCTTGCAGCTCAGCATCCTGAAGGAGGCACACCAGGATGAGCTGGGCCGCATGTCTGAAGACCTGGAAGACGAGCTGGGCGCGCGTTCCAGCATGGACCGGAAAATAGCCGAACTGAGGGGAGAGGTAAGGGGCCAGGATCTGGGGCCTTGGGACTAGAGGGACAAGGCAGGGCTGCTCACCCCAGGGTGCCCAGTCTGCAGGAGGCATCCCCTCCTACACAGAGACCAGAAGCACCCCACATCCTGCCCACCATGAAAGAAACTCAGTATAATTATATCCGCTGCAGCTGGATCTGCTTCCTGGAGCCAAAAATGGCTGCAGGAGGAGGCGGGGTGTCCTGCCCCGCCCTTCACGCCTGTTCCCCAGGAGACTCAAGCCATCCTGTCCTGTTGTCCTATTGCAGATGGAGCGGCTGCAGGCAGAGAACGCAGCAGAGTGGGGCCGCCGTGAGCGGCTGGAGACAGAGAAGCTGGGCCTGGAGCGAGAGAACAAGAAGCTGCGGGCACAGGTCGGGGACCTGGAGGAGGCACTGGCCCGGCGGCGGCGGCAGACGGCCAGCGCCCTGGACTGCGACCTGCGGGCCAGCCAGGCCGCACTGTTCGAGAAGAACAAGGTGGGGCAGGGAGTGGAGCGTCCAGGCCCTGTGCCTGCTGTGTTGATAATTACACTACAGCTTCTGCCTAACTGGGCCAAACATCTGAAATCCAAAATGCTCCAAAAGGCCGGGTGCTGGTGGCTCACGCCTGTAATCCTAGCTACTCAGGAGGCTGAGATCTGAGGATCGCGGTTCAAAGCCAGCCCGGGCAG